GTTTTTTAATGCATTCTAAGCTTTACATAAGCCATATATATATATATATATATATATATATATATATATATATATATATATATATATATATATGGTTCAGTCAGTCAGTTATGTGCCATCCATGATACACGCTTAGGCAGTCATGTATATTTCGATACATGACTGACGAGGCAGATTTTCCCCGCAGTAGGTTGCCATTTCTTTCTGCAGTAGGCCAGTTGCCATCCAAGGCTATAGAACCCGGTCTGTCCTGCTAATTACTCATAGCTGTGGGTTAGGGGTGGAGATGAAAAGGATTCATACCTTTCCCAAGGGTATTAGCACGTAAGTGAATGTAATGGATTCGACTAGAATTCGAACTCGGCTCTCCGATTCCTCACTCCAAGCCGCTATCCATCTTGCCTTAGTAACCGTATACACGTGTGCAGGTATGCATACACAGGTAAGGAAATAAATAATTACCAAATTTTGCCAAGAGGTAGAAAATACATAATAGATAGATAAAACATTTAGAATCTTTTTCTTTTTGTTTTCATCGTCTTTGTTATTAAATGACTAGCAGTAGAGCCCGGCGTTGCTCGGAGATGTAACAGTAAGAGATAGACCAAGTATCGACCATCATAAAGACTGAAAAATAAAATTGACAAAGATTATTGTTTAAGGTTGACGGACACACATGTCTTAATTAGTTAGTTTTTTTTTTTTTTTTTTTTTTTTTTTTTTACGAATTGGTCAAACTCAAACAAAAAAATTGTTTTCAATCGTTATGAGTCTATCGATTGAATAGAATTTTATTAAAAACAATTGTCTTGTAAATGGAATGTTTAAAGCATTCTGAATGTAAAAATAAAGAAAAAAGTGTGCAAGACAATAAGAAACACTACCTGCCAAAAAAAGTGAAGTTTTGTTGAAATCGGTTGAAAAATGTAGGAAATCCGATCGCATATATAAACGAACACACACACACACACACACACACACACACACACACACAACCTGGGTCTTTATAATAAGTATAACTCGATATGAGTTGTCCCTCTTTCATTCTCGCGACAGCGATGCTTCATAATCGTGTTTTCAAATTGATTTCATGCAAAAACAATTGTGTTTTTCCAATTTTTGGCGCTGTCAGAAGCACCGCAACATTTTCCCTTTCTTGGCAGATCTTCTATCATAGCAATTTGTCGATATTTAAAAACATAAGCAAAAAGAAAAAAAGAAACTAAATGAAATCAACTACTAGACTATACACCCAAAACACATATTAAGAAAAAAAATTCTAAAATCTTTCCGGTCAATTACTAAACATACTAACGTAAACATCGCTACAGTCAGATGACAACTTAAACTCGTCGCACAAAAATAGGTTTCACTTTGTCATAGATTTTCCTAATATTAAAGCAATAAAATCTTGTTTTCCTAATATTAAAGCAATAATGTATTTGAGTACAAAAGAGGCCCACAAAATAAGAAAAATAGCGAATCTAAATCAGAAAATTGGTTTCAAGGATTTCTCATATGATTTTTTTATCCTAACCTCTCCTAAAATAAGATCTATCATTCTAAAGTAGTGTGGCCCAACTTTTTTTCAACCAACGCCCTCGTTGGGGACAAAATATTTTGTCAACGCCCCCTTGTCTAACTAAAATTGGGTGTGTATTTTATGTATTCTCGGTCATATCCTTTTTCTGTTTTGTATTAACGACCTTTCTAAGAACATCCACAGATCATTTGTAAAAATCTAGGCAGATTATACTCCAGTTTACGTGATGACCTCCAAGCATCAGGTTGAATCAAAGCCTGGTGGCTGATCTCTCTTCTGATTTAAGTGATGGAAAAAAAACTCGCTTCTACCTTTCAGTATCTCATAATCTATGTCATCATCACCGATTCGAACGGGAGTTTCCTCCAATCACGATAAAAAGCTACTCTCCCAATGAGGATCCTCGCTTCGAATGTCCGCAATGTTTGCCAACCTTTTTTCAACCAGTGTCCCTTTTGGACATAAACTTTTTTTTGTCACCGCCCCTCCTTCGTCGAATTAAATTTTAAATATTACTAGCAGCATGACCTGGCGTTGCCCGGGCTTGATTCAAAAATCGTAAACTCATACAGCAATCGCTATCACTTGACTTAAAATATTTTTGCCCTTCCTTGCCTTTAAAGGAGTGCCCTTTGCCGTGCTGATGTTGCTACATGCCTTACTTCTTGCCTATCTCACACTGCCAATTTTTTCGAAGCTCTATACTAAACATTAAATCTGTTACGAAAAAAGAACTAAACAAAATGAACACAAAACGATCATCTTTAAAAAAGGACTCGTAACTGGAAAAACCAAATGAAAAAAGAATGTTAACAACAAATACTTTTTCACACCCAACCCAGTTCTGCGGAATCAGAATCAACATTGAGTTTAAGCAAGCGAATGAGCCAATTGGAGTAAAGTGCCATGCAGATTTAAATTTTTCCCACTTGTGACGAATGCAGCTATCGATTTTTT